AGGCAACAAAGAGCTTCAGATAAAGGAGCAATGGAAGAGTGCAGTTTCACAGCTCTGTTTTTGTGATGTCAATCAGTTTTTGTGTGCCTATTCCATTCATGGTATCAGTGCAAGTAACCTGTTCTGTAAGCTATCACTGATTTGTGCATGATGTCTGTAGAATACCTGAGCTAGCATAGTCACCAAGGCCAAAGTACAAACTTTTGTAATGATAAACTATTACAAGCTTGCTATCTACAGTCAATTTTTTTTTTTTTTTTTTTTTTTGTGAACAGATGTGTGATAGATGTGTGATAAGCCTTTTACTATTTAAAATAGGATAAGAGTAGCTGAAATGGCAAGGCCGTACTGAAAGGGACAAGATCCCTTTCCTGAGGAACATCCTTCATGGACAAGAGTTTAAGTGAGAAGGAACAGTCAGAAGGATGAGATCTCTGTTAAAACAGGAGCATTTAGATGGTCTCTTCTATATAAAGCAGAGTTAAGTAGCCCAGGTTGTAACAGTTGTGTGATGCTTCTAGGAGGCTGTTTTCTCAGGGCTGACGGTGAACCAAAGGTTGCAAAGGGAATGGAGGGGAGGCGGGGTGTCAGTGTGGGCGTGAAATGACAGCAATTACCCTTCCTTTGAAGGGATTCTGCAGATCCTGACCATTTCTAAAGACAAAATTCTCAGTAAAAAAAAAAAGTTAATTGGTCTACTCAGACGTGAGTTTGTGTAGTGGAACAGAAATCTTACTCTTTATAAAACATCTACTTGTCCATGCAGACATGTCTTCTGTACTCCACAGTTCTAATGCTTCTGAATTTTTTGAATTGGTCCAAGAAAACGAAGCAAGCTCAGGTGTGTAGGAGAGGCAAAACAAATGAGGCTAACACTCAGAGGTGAGATATACAGATAAATCACATTAAAGACAAAAACCTTTAAAGGGACGTTCTCAATGTTGACAGTGTAAGGCTGCTTTGCAATTAAAATACGTCTCCCTAGTCTTTTTTTCTAAAAGCTCTGACTGCAACAAAGATAAAAATCTGTTTCTCAGCTGGATAACCAGTATCACAAAACATAATAAGCATATTTTATTTGCAAATGTAGGTAAGCTGACGCATGCATGCCACTTCTTCCCTCCTCTCTCCCCATACCTTCTCTATTCCTAGGCCAGAAGCATTCATATTTACAAGAATTACAGTGGTGATTCAGAGCATCAAAAGATTCAGAGACCCATGGATCCAGGGTAATAGGGGGAAGAGAAATATATTCTAATCTCTCCTCAAACATGATTTGTTTTAGGCGATGCTTTCAGATTGAATAAATGCATACAGCTATTTGGAGACTCTAGACACTTTAAGTATATTGAATTCAAAAAATCGGGTGGCATTGTGTAGTGAATAGAATGCCATGTGCTTTAAAGAAGTGAGTAGAATGTCTCCTGGCTCAGTATGTTTCCAAGTAATTACTAAGAGCAGATCATGCTGCTAATTTAAACAGAATATAATTCAAACAACAAAAACGTTGTCTAATTATACAGGGCCAGATTTTCTGGTTTAGTTTCCTAGCAAAGAGCTCTTCTTTGAGAAGCCTAGGATAGGATTTTACCTCTTCTGCCTGTCCTGCAGGATCTGGGAAGAAGAAAAAGATGTTCTTGGCTCACACAATGCATGCTGGTGTTATATATGGAGTGGTAATTCGTGTCGAGAAAATGGTTGATATTAAAAAAAAAAAAGGGGGGGAGATTTAGGAATGTGGCCATGGGGGTTGGAAAACCCCATGGTTGAGATAACATTAGACTCTTAACGACGAGGCCATCAGGAATATAAAAGAGTTTAGAGGGAACAAAGAAGGGTGATTCAGGAGACTCCATGCAGTCTCCAGTTTCTTGTTCTCCAGATGGTTTCTTGTTCTCCAGCCATTAAGGCATGGATGTTTATGGGTGTTTGCTGCTGTTGTTACATTCAAAGTTGTTTGACCAATGAAAAGTTGTTTTGAAAAGAACTGCTGTGGAGAGAAGGGTATTAGAGGGGAACCTGCCCTCAAGATTTAAAAAAAAAAAAAGTAACACGATGATGAAGTTACATCAATAAAGAAGCAGGAAAAAGGAGTGAAGAGGAACAGGCTGGGAGAATGGAGACCAGGACGGAACAGGCACTTTGATTGCCTCATGAAGATAGGTTCGGCCAGACTCAGCAAACTGCTCAGAGAAGCTCGTACAGAAAGTCGCTGGAAACAGGCGCACTGGAGCTGGAGAGAAGCTCAAGCTGAGAGAAGCGGAGCCAGCACACAACTGCCCCTTGCTGGTAAGCAGCTGCGCGTTATGGGGAATCATACGTCCTTAGGAACAAAGACTGTCCTGGTAACCTTACAGCTTATTCTCCTTATTAACAATCGGACAGTTTATGAGCCTGAAATATGGGACCAAACTGAGGTCAAGGTGTGGGACTCTGCAACTAAAAACGACAAGGCTGCAGCGGGATTGCTCGGCACCTGGCGAGCAGTCTCTGAGGCCTTAAAGAGCCCTGTGGGACCACAATCACAAACGTGTGGTTTGCCAGACAGTGAGGGAGCTGCGGGCTCCTTTACTGATCCTTCTGCTACGCCATGGGCCCCTCTGCTGCTACAGCCATCGAAGGCTTTTGCTGTTACGCCCCCTGGTGACCTGAACGTGCCTTTTGACCCAGGCCTATTGGCCTTGAGAAGGAGATGGATGTGCTTTTCTTCGATCCGGGAAGAACGGGATGCATAAGGCCTGAAGAATGGAAAATGGAGACCGTTAAGTCATGGAACTTAAAGGATTGTTTGTTACCTTTCCTGATTGTACGTATCTATAGGCATACTCGGGTTTAGTATGTAAAGCAATGTTCTGTATATTTAGAACGTTTGATGTTCATGTGTGCGTGTTGGTGGAGCATAGACTCCCCGCACACCCAGCTGTTTACTTGCCTTTTATACCTTTTAGAAATATTTGTTTTATAAATATTACAAAATTCAGATTGAGTTGAGACCTCATTTATAACACTGGGGTAGTGATGCAAGCTAATGTGTCATGCCTAGTCTTCAACTAGTAAGTGCCAAAGTGTCTGATAATTGAGCTTGTGCTGCTTTTTGTTCAAAGATAGCAAAACATTTTACATTTGTATAAATACTAAAATTACTGAATTACTGACTATGAAGACCCAGAGCTGTAAGACTAACACAGCAAGAGTGAAATCTAACATAGTGTGGTAATGATGTGGAAACCAGTGGTCCTCTGTCTACTAGCCATTTACTGTAACTGGACAGTAACAGCTTAATTTTAGCAACACCTGCAAGGAGTTATTTTTCACTCCTTGTGATATAACAAATTTCCATATTGGGATAGAGGAGAGGTCTGTAGGTCTGTAGCTGCCATTGTAAACCCAGATAACATGAAGCTGTTTCTGATGTGAGGGTGTTTGCAGGAAGATGTGGATTTTTGCATCCAGGAAGAACAAGCAATTTTTTTCTAGTAATTCAAGAAATCTTTAGACATAATACTAAAATTGATTTTAGGAGATTTTCGGTATTCCCAGGTGAAAGTTGAATATGCATGCAGGCTCTATGGCATATGTTCATTATAATACTATAAATTTTCTTCTTACTTCCACCTTGACATCATTAAATATTTATAATTTTGATTTTATGTGTCACAAATTTTAAATGTGGAAATAGAAAACTGAACTATTCTATTCACACAAGTGAAGTCAGAATGTTTTGATCTTATTAAGCCTACTTTATTTGTTTTGAAAAGAGATTCCTGTTGAAGATGCGTAACATTTCTTGAGGTGACATTTCAAGCTGGAAAAATGTGGATGGAAAATTTCACTCTAGATGTAGTTACAGTTGGCATTTCTTTAGTCCATGCAATTAAATTCAATCCCACTGTAGGTGGTCATAGTTGGTCTTAAAGTCTGTGTGTGCATGTGAATTAGGGACAAAACATAAAGGAATTGTATTAAAACATATGCTTGGCTTTGTGGTGAGAAAAAAAAAACACGTGAAAATATTGCTCTGTATTGAATGGTCCCCATTTGGTCTGGTCCATGAACATTTCAAATGTCACTAAAAGGGATTAATAATAAATTTACTTAATCGTGATTTGTTCCCTTAACCTTGCTCCCATTATCCTCAATGTCAAGGATGGATGTAAGTAATTTTGAGAACTGAGTTAAATGCCTAATCATACAAAATCCTTTACATCGTGAAAAGAGATGGGAATCACTGATGTTTAATATGGGCAATATGTAGTAGTTCTGCTCTCATTCGTACCTGAAATGCAAGTTGACATAGTTTTGAATTTACTTCTGCAATATTGAATGTTCTGTTTGCTTCTGAATTAATCGAAGACAGCTTACTTTTAAGAATTTTTAGTTCTTGGACAGTATTGCGCATCTCTTCTGTGTTTTCAGAAAGAACCTAGTTATGTGGTGGAAAAGTGAATGTCCTTTGGGCTCAGACTGTTTTCCAGTTCACATCTGTGTTAATTCCTTACCTCTTTGTCTCAAACTCCCAATCACTTGGGATAAATCTAGAAAACTAAAACTTTTTTTAAACGTTTCTCTCACAAGATGGCAGCATTGCTTCAGGGAATAAAATTGCTTACGCTGTTTAGGATGTCTTGCAGTTTTTAATATTTCCCTTTTATACCATACGTGGGAGAAACTGTGACAGGTGTGTTCATCTGTGGTAACTGAATTTACATAACAACATTGGTCACGAGGTTGGATGAGTTTCATTCCCTTGCTGCTATACTTGCAGGCTTTGTGGTGAAAGTAAGTTATTGGAGGACTATAATAGGTTTTGTTTTTTATTGAAACTGTATCATTTTGATTCTTTGTCATTGTTAAAGTGTCTCTAGTTAAGACTGTTGTTACATTTCTGAGAGTTTAGCTCTACATGAACCTGGAATTCAATTATTTCAATTGCACTAAGCAGAAATATTTTACAGGAATTCTGACTTTGGATTCACATATATTTCTCTTCTTGTCCACAGAGTGCTTTTATTCTTTCAGGACTTGCTCCTGGTCTTGGATGTCAATGGCTCAATAGGGTAAGTCCTGTAAAGGAGATATGGACAGCAAATAAGAGGAAAATAAAGTAATTTTTAAAACTTTCATTTTGTTCCCTAAATAAATAATCAAGAATGATGAAAGAGATGCATTTTGAACCATTAGAAGCATTCACCTTCATTCATCTCAAGGCAATCCCTTTACTTGATTTTAGGGCAGCACTGATAGACTTCTAAAGGAATTAGGTCTAGTTTATTTCTGATTCTTAAAAAGGTCTACCTAATTGACTCCCTTTTTTTCTCCCTATGGAGTAAAAAGCTGGGACATACAGGAATCCTCACTGTGCTATCTTGGATGAAGTTGAGCTGCCCAATACAAATTTTTTTCTTTAACCATCATTTTGCTTGTGATTCTGATTTCACAGTATGAGTTGCTAGCTGAAGGATAATATTTTCTAATTCATATGGCAATTTTATACCTCTGTTCAGATATTCCACCTCGCAAAAATGCTAACAAGGCCATTTTCATTTTTAAATCAGGAAAGCATTTTCCATGATTGCCTGGAGAAATGTCTCTTCTACTTAAAGAACTGAAGGAAGTATACTTTGCTATTCTGAGCAGCAACATCCATTATTTTAAGGAAATATTGGGTAGTATGTTAGAGCACTTTAACAAAAAATATTTTAAGTCTTGTATTTTTGTTTTCTTGGAGACCCTATGCTGAGAACAAAGAGTAAGCTTGACTTTCTTTCCACTTTTCAATCCAATATTTAATATATGTGTTTTTTACTTAGAGGAGGTCAATTTGCTTGCACTTTGAGGACTAAGGTATGATTATTCTGCAAGTGTAATGCTTTACTAACAGCCCAAGTTCTACAACCTTATGTTTAGAGAGATTTAAGTTATTATTTTTATACTTTCACAAACAGCAATGTATAAATTGTGTATTTAGTTTCTTCTTTAAAGTACATAGAATCTTTTATTGTTGCAGTTCAGCTGATCTCCAGTACACCTTCCAAACACAAACTTACCATTGGCATCATTTACTTTCATGGCTTTGAACACAAATATCTAAGATTTCTGAGGTAGGAAAGACACGGATGTAAATGATATTAAGAGAATGAAGTCAGACCCTTGTGTGATAAAGGATGCTGAATTCTGTTTTTTTTTTTTTTCCTTCATACCTCAGCATAGAGTCTAAGTAAATAGAAGAAATACATGATAGTATCATTTACTGAGGGAGGCTGGTGTCTTTACTTTACAACATCTCAGGAGATATGCTAGTTACGCTGAACTGGAACACATGGACAATAAGGTGTGTGACAGCTTCTGAAAAGTAGGTTCAAACACTGGAAGTTGTTTTGGCTCCTCTGGGTCAGCACATCTCCATCATTCCAGCTCTACTTCTTTGAAGAGAACATGAATCTAACCTTCTGGTCACATGAAGTCTGTGATACTCTCCTCCATGAGCACTCTGCTGCTTGCTCCCTCACTCATCCTGGCAGTGGAACAAGTCTGGCCTTAACTGCTTACAAAGGAAATTGAAAGGCATTCTGCTTTAAAGAGGAAGATCACTCTAGGGGTAGTCTGTAGCAGATAATTGAGAAGTTTTGTTGAAGGAAACTAAGTAACTGAGGTTATTAGTGATGCAGTGCAGTATTGATCACAAATTCAAATCTAACCCACACTGTTACAAGTCAGTGTAGTTTGGTATTCTGTGTGAGATTAGTTTCTCTACTTCTGAGTGGATGAAAATTCTCTTTATAAATGGGTCTCACTGATCTAATCAGCAGTCATCATATGTGTGGTGCTTTCTTTTAGAATTATTTATGAACATGTTTAAGTTAGTTTATTTTTACAGAAAGCATTTAAAATGTGTTTAGCTTTTACTGTGTGTTTCAGAGCTACTCAAACACACTCGTGAAATACACTAGTGAATGAGTACTTTTAACCTTTACAGTGATACTTGTAAAACAAAAACAAAACACTTCTATGAGTTAGCTTTTATCACCTGTGTTAATCCCATAAGCATTTGTTTACCTGACCAACAAACAAATAGAAGATTTAATTTTTAAGGTCTCTAAGGTCAGTACTTTTCACACCTGCTAATGCAAAGCACAAAGACAAAATAGATCATGTTCCCTACAAGTCTTATCAGCACATAATAGAAAAGCATGTAGGAAAAGGCAATGTACATCTCAAATGGATTATTGAAGTGCTGACAAATTTATTCTCACTTTAGTGTGGCCTGTTTATTTGCAGTCCTAGAATAAAATTCATCCAGGTCTGTATTATACATTCTTCATAGTGTAGTTTTGTATTTTACCACTCTTGAAAGCCTTGTTGATTAACTAAAAAACAGAAGTAACATACAGAGAATGACAGTCATCCCTGTTTTCAGTACCTCACTTCAGTCCTGAAGGAACTTACAATGATGCTGTTGAATATAACCAGACTACTCTTCCTACTCAGTATTAGAGATGATAAAATATTCTGCTTCAAATTCACATCCTATTTTACTTCTCTGTGATTTAAGGATTTATGTTGACACTACAGAGATAAGCAGAGATGAACATTTAAATAAGATTGGTTCATATCCTAACAAAGGTTCATCAGTAGAAAATAGTTTCTCGAAAAGCATGCATTATGTTGTAATGTTCATAAAAATGCTTTTCACTATCTGAGTATTGCTCAAAATCACTGGATAGATCTGCATTTGGCTTCTGTTTTATTGCAAATAAGATGTAATAAAATCCTAACTTGTGTTCAAAGCTCCTGACCATTACATAATGTGAATGTCTCAAAAGAGATCTTATTCAGAAATGGGTAGCTAGATATTTGGCCAAAATGTCGTTAATATTTTTCATCAAAAACCTAATGAGAGGAACATATCATGTATTGTGAATTACAGTGTTTCTGTTAATAAAAGAAAGGATTTATTATTCCCTTTGAGTCAGATTCTATTTTCTGCTACAATAGATGTGGAGTAAATTTAAAGCAAGAAAGGAAGAGTAAACATGAGGTATTGGAAAGATTTCATATTGGCATGTTTGAAATTAGCATTCAATTTCATTTGGTGTGTGTATAAATTTGTAAGTGGTATAATATGTAGTAACTACAATGCATATTAACTAGTCCTAGGCGTTACCTTTTATATTGGCTTACCTGAAAAGTAGCAAGATAAATAATCTTAATGCTTCCTGCGCTACTGCTGACAAAAATGTGGTAATTTTCTGTCATTTGGATGGATGTGTCAACTTGACAGGTGAAAGACTATAGATGGGTTCAGTTGCATAGTTGAAGATATATAATAGAAGGAAAAGTATTAACTGTGAATAACAGTAAATTGGGAGATACTGGAGAAAAAGCTGAAGGGCCTTAGAATGTGAAAAACAAAATGAAAAATCATAAAGAAGTTTGCAGATAAAAATGAAACCAGGAGAAAGGACGAAGGCCTCATGATATCTACATTAATCACGAATAATGACTGGATAGAATATTTAGGGATATATGGAAAAAAAAGTTCTTTAAGAACATTGGGAGGCTGTCACATACGTGGCAGAGGAATAAAACAGGAGGATTTAAGCAGTTTTCAGTCTTTAAAATGGAAACTTAACTGAGAGAAGTCTTAACAGCCCAGAATTCATATAGGCCATATAGGTAGGACTACATACTCCTAGCAAGCAGCAGATCATTTTGCTCAGTTTATCTGCAGGCCTATGTGGAAATAACATATTAAGGAATCACAGGAGCTTTTTCAGCAGATTTGAAGCAGGAATAGAAGTTGGACATTTGAATGCAATGGTTTAATTGTTTATGGTAGGGTTTGCAGAAATCCTAGATTATAAATACCTGATAATGAAAGATACTTGCAGTGAATTTTCTTGTCAATGTTAAAATTAAAATAATGCATCTGACAGTATTGTAATGCTTAAGCTGAATTAGGCTGAAGAAAAGAATGTCTTACAATATTCTGGGAGCAGTTATTTTTGTTTCTCTCCAAATTTTATCCCTGTGCAGTAATAAAAGCTGAAAAGCAGAAATGACTTGGGGTATTTGCACTAGAAGTAGTGAGTGGAAGGTGCTCATAGAAGGAACTGTTGGAATAGAGAAGGCTATTTGCTTCCTGCCCTGGGTGGAAGCTAACTAATATAGCCTTCCATACTATTATAAATAACGAGCTTAAATGGACTGATTAGTGTAAAATGAAGGGCAAAAGGGCAGCTATTCAGAGGTAAAGAGAGTATCAGAAATAAAGGCTGGAGGGAAATGAGGAGAACAGTTTGGAATAGAAATGGTAGCTACGTGGCACATGAACTGTTCAGGAACGCTAAAATAGAAAATAGGGATAAGATGCAAGATGATGGGAATGGGAATCAGAAAATTGGTGGGCATGGAAAGAATAAAAACGGAATGGTCATGGAACAGTGAGTGTCAATGAAAGGTAAATATAAGGGAGTTAAAGCATGAAAGGAAGAGAATAAAGAATCTCTTATGTAAGAATAAACGATGTTATGCTCTGTGTGATCCCCAAAAGGATTATCATAGTGTACGGTCTGTGGTGTCTCAAGAAAATCCATCCTTACTGCCTGCTCAAAGGAAAGCCCACTAGGATTTCGCATAAGACATCTCCAGCTAAAGTAGAAAAAGCCAGATAAATCCAAATTGCCAATGGATTTAGAGAAGCGCCTATAATAACATGCTGTCAAACAGTTCCAGACTGTATTCTTTCCTGTGTATGTTTGTAGATACCACTTCTGCTTCCAGCATCTTCCCCTGCTGTATTTTGATTTCCAGGGAACCTGTTCCTGCAGGGTATCTGTAGGAGGGCCCCTGTTTTTCTCTAGCACTTACCTTGGTTTAGTTATGGTTAGCTCCTCTGGTCTGCTGTCCTAGCTCACATCCTCATCTGTTCTGGGACTGACCTGCTGGCAGGTGTGCCTCAAGTACCCAACCACATGGCTGTGTGTGCTTGGAAAGGGAGAGAAGGGTTTGGGTGGTTTTTAATGCAGAGTGGAATTGGCATAGAGAGCAGCAGCTC